ATTGTATCAAATACAGAGTCTCTGAGTGTTATTTGGGGCTGGCGCGGCAGCAGGACAAGACCAGCGGCGGCAGGCGGAAAAACAGTACTCGTTACATACTATGAACAATTACATATCAACAATTGAATAATCCATAAAAATTAATAATCCATGCTGGATGCTATGAGACAGCCTGTAATTCCAGCATGTGGAAGATGTGCAAGGGGACCAGGAGTTCAAAGTCATTCACAGCTATGTAACATGTTCAAGGCCAGCCTGGATTACATGAGATGCTATGTAAAAAGTGAAGAGAGAAGGAGAAAGGAAAGGAGAAAGAAAAAGAAAGGAAGGAAGGAAGGAAGGAAGGAGAAGGAGAAGGAGAGAGAGGGGGAGAGAAGGAAGGAGGGTAGGAGGGCGGGAGGGAGGAAGGAAGGAAAGAAGGAATTATAACTTCCAATACTGAGTCATGAATAGGTAGAAACTCTGAACAAATCAATATGTAAGGAGTTTGAATTTATTAACAAATAACTATTACAAAGGAAAGCCTTAAAACATATGGTCTCATGGATAAATTAGTAGTATTATTCGTTTTCAGTTTTTCAAAACTTTAAGAATAGTTCTTCAAACTCTGGGACACTTGAGGCAGAAATCCTATCTTCTAGGAAGCAGTAAGTTGCACTCAAAGAAAATATCTTAGGTTGAGGCTGTTTTCCTAATAAAGGGAGCTGGACTGGAAGGCAGAACCCTTCTCACAGTGCGATCCCAACCTTCTCTTCTCTGCAGTCTGATGAGGCACCTTTTCTTGTCAAATGCTTAGTAAAGAAGCCCAATGACCTCCAAATAAATAAATAAAGCAAAACCTTTAAGGGAAGGATACATTTGCAAAGTCACTTGATAACCCTTATGTGGTACAAATACCTAAGTGAGACAAGAATGTATTATAAGAAGACATAATTCAGGCTGGTCGGGTCTCTTTGCTAGAGGCCAAACAAAACAAAACAAAACAAACAAACAAACAAAGAACCTGGAAAACTGACTTTAGCAGACATTGAAGGATTATGATCAGATTGGGTTTACCAATAACAGGCAAAAATGAGTTGCACATGAAAACCAATCAATGCAATGAACCACATTAACAGGAAGAGGGAAAAAAATATTTACAAATTCAATAAATTATCTAATGTATCTGAAAACTTAGCACACATTCATAATTTTAAAGACTCAACAAAATGGGTACAATGGGAATGTACATCAACATCCATTTGGCTATTGAGACAGTCCTGCTTCCAATGGGTAATGGTCAGTATTATAGAAGAGCAAATTAAAAATGGGATTTGGCTAGGTACAGCGGCGTACACCTTTAACCCTAGCACCTGGGAGGCAGAGGCAGGTGGATCTCTGTGAATTTGAAGCCAGTCAGGAATACATGCATAGGAAGGCTGTATCTCAAAAACAAAAAAAATAAAATGATAAATGAACCTGGGTTTTGTTGAGAAAGACAAGAAGAACGCCACTCTGTGGGTAAGAGAGGTAGCACACGGCTGGATTAGCTCAGCAGGTCAGAACGCTGGTTTCCCTTACACAAGTGTCAACAAGCGCAGAGACATCTTCTAGGGCAGGGCACACTGATGAAGGATCGGGCCATTACTGGAATAAAGCTGACCTTTACTGGGATTAATAATGCGGGAGAGGGGCCAGTTTGATGGCTTATGCTAAAGAGGCTACTAATGACTAATATCCATTGCCTACTTACTACAAACCAATCATCTCGTGGCATTTAACTTGCCCCACAATTTCATTCATACATGATCATGAAAGGCTAGCAGAATATTTTTGTTGGGTTTAAGTAAAATTGGCTCATAGTGAAAAAAATATGATCTTTTAATCAGCTTAGTGAATACTACCCCTGCTTTCCCTTTCTAAAGAGAAGATCTGGCTTGGTTAGCAACATTCAACTTCCGCTCAAAGATGGGACCACAACCTCAGAAGCTACCACAGTTCTGTTTTACATGTGGACTTAAGTAACTGGTTATAGGAATGCTGAAGAAACTGCCTCACTGCCTCAGGGCTGAGCAATATTTGCCTGTGTTTCTATTTGTCATCATTATCCTGCTACAGGAAATGTTTGAAAAGAGTGAAGCAATTGTTTGTATTCTTATTCTCTATATCAATTTAATCAAATTTCTTGGGTCAAACTTTCACTTACTGAAAGGCAAGTTAGTGTGGTCTTCATGTAATATCAAATAAGGAATATTTAATATTTCTCATATTTTATAGTAGTTATGTAAGTTCATGATTTTTATTTCTTTTAAATCAGCACTGTAGCTACATTAACAAGTTGAGCCTTATTTTCTCATATTTTATTTATCTAAGATTAATTTATAATCCAAGATTGTCCTTAAACATCAATTAAGCAACACACAAAACAGAAGTTGCTTGGTGTGGTTGCCTATGGCTGGTGCTTTTTGCAACTCATTAGATAGAACAATTAGATAAGGAAATAGAATGTAAGATATTTAACGATAACACAAATAATTAAAACACAAATCATAAAATGTGACTATATATTAATGACAAAATACACAGCTATCACCTCTTTCAACACTGAAAAGTTGAAATAACTCCTTTAGCATCAGGAACAATGGTGGCCTCTCCCACCACTCCTATTCACTGTGGTACTGGACGACCTAACTGGAAAAAGTAGACAAGGAAAGGAATTCAGATGGCCTCCAATTCGGAATGTACTACATCGTGCATGGCTTGGGTTCTGAAGCCATGACCAGAGGAGATGATGGAATAAAGAAAGGTTGGAAAATGATGGCAGGACAAAGGCATGGATACAGAAAAGCTGGAACCAGGTGGGTTAGGCTGTCTGAAGAAGCTGCAACACCCCAGAAGCTCAGAGTGTTTATTAGATACAACTGAACATGGAGCCAGGTTTAGCTACTCTCAGTAGGAGCAGTGTCTACAGGGGAGCAGACTTCAGGCAGTGACCATCCAGTGGGAGAAAGCAACAGGGGACATTTTCTGTCCATACTGTCCATGCTCCCACACACAGAATGGAAGTGTAATTATCTCTCTGTAATGATAATGTGATCATCTATAGAGTAAACCCTAAAAAATTCTACATAGTACACATACAGCTCACATACATACATGTTGGACATAAAGAACAAGTTTGTACAGTACCAGGATAAATCATAGACAGGTCTTTTGCAGTTGCACAGAAGTAGAAAGAAATCCATGTCTAAGAACGTTAAAACACAAAATATTTAACGGTAAAATTCTGATGCACTGTTACCAGGAAACTGAGCTGGTGGTACAACCATTAAGTAAATCAGTAAAGAAGTTCCTCCAAACACTGGCTGTGGTGTAGCATTCTCACTTTGGGATATATAGACTGAAACATAAAAATATCGTCACCTAAAGACGTCCACATTCATGTTCTTTGCAGTATCACTCACTAAAGTGAAAACTTGGAAACAACCTGTATGTTAGTTACTGAGGTCTTTCGGGTACCAGCCCCTTAGACCTCTTCAGGGTCCAGCCAAGATTCTACAGCCAGTAAGAGAACTAACTGAAAAAGATCTGAGGGCGAAATGAATTCTCCACTATGTACTTTTTCACACCAGTTTCTTTACTCTTTTGCTTCTACTCTAATAATCCTGTCTTACTTTAATTTCTCCCAATTTCTTCCAGTTTCTTCTATTCTAGTCTCTCAAACATCCCCCTTCCCATGGAGGCTTGAAGCAAAAGAAGGAGTTACATGAACAGATAGCTCTCACTGGTTAGAAGCACATTTCTAGGGAAAGCAATAAGGGTAAAGGCATTGCCATAGCAATGTAAGGGCCCAAGGCCATAGGAGCAAAACTGCGACCTGAGCGGGGGCTGTGGGTGGCACAGTGCCCAGTGACAACTTTGAGACACAGATCCATTGTTAGTAGACAGGCAAGTGAAGAATTGGCATGCTTTTCTTAGTAACCTTGGTTGGACATCTGCAGCTCTGACATAGCTGTAAGGGTTTAAACTTATGATCTATTTATAAAGGCCTTTTAGTCTAGTTTGAACTTGCTCTGAGGTGAAAGTGATCTATTGTGTGCAGTTAATCTAAGTAAGAGAACAAGGCAGGCTGTTCAGAGTCCACAGACCTTGTGGGACAAATAGTTCTGGTTATGAAGCATGTCCCAGTATATATTCTAGATATCAAAACTATATAGTTAAATGGAAAGTCATGTTCTAGACCACCCACAGATATATGTGCCCAGTAATTGATTAATACAGTTTTGGGGTTAATGAGATGAATGTCACCATACAAAGGGAGCACTGTGGCTCTACAGGGAATTTGCAGCAAGGACAGTGACTATTGAAAAAGCAGACTCCCACTGCCCTGCATTTGGTCTCCTCCATCAGAATGTGTGATCCCTGTGGGTTATCCTTGTGATTTGTCAGCTGAGTTCTCACTGTGTAGTCCTATGGACCACAGGGGTCAGTGGATGAGTGGGTCATAAATGTTTAACACCTACCTGTGTGTGTATTAACACACTGAAACATTGGTCCATCATGAAATGCGCATCGTCGGATGTGCAGCAATGGATGAATGTAGGGGGTGTTCATCTATGGTGAACAAGTACAAGAAGGATCAGTATCCGATCTCACTTATAAACAATGTCTGAAAACATAAACTGCAGGAATTAGAGAGAAAATCCATGGTGGCAGGGGTTTGATGTTGGAATCCCTGACATGTTGAAGAAAGGGCACAGACAGACAGATAAAATAAAAGTAAATACTGAGGGTCCAAGATACAATAGAGTAACAATAGTTAACACTATCCTGAATATCTGAACTTTCTTAGAAAGCCCTTAAGTGTTCTTAACACACATACATGCACACACACACACACACACACACACACACACGAACACACACTGGTAACTATATTAAGTAATGGATGGTGTCACCCTGCTTTGCATAGTAGTTTCAGAGTAAATATATATATTAATATTAAAAGCCAGACACTATAATTTAAATGTACATAATTTTATTTCTCAAGTGCATGTCAACAAAGCCAAAGGCAGAGTAAGACAGAGGAAGAAAAAAAACCGATAAATGGGAAGAACATAGCATACAATTGTGGGAGTTAATGAAAGCTTGAAGGGGAAATGAAAGCCCCATATGTGCACAAAACGACCAATGTGCAGTGACCTGGCACACGGGAAATCCTAGAGAAAGGTCATCGTGTGTAGGACTAAGTGGATGAATACGCAAGCAGACATGCTGTCCTCACATGTATAACCATTTGCTGCCTATTTAAATTCTGTAACCCTCTCTTTGACATGAAAAATGCTCTAGGGATCTGTGTAATAGTGGATAAAAATGCAATCACGTGTCCATGGTGAATGCTTTCTCATACGTATATTTTCTTCATCTGACAAACTGACTTCTGTTTCACACTGCAAGGGCTGTCATTCCAGCCCCAACTAGAACGTGGATGATTTACTATAACACATTGTTCCTTGTCGTTGTTGGGCTCACCTGGGTGCCAGAACCTGAAAGGGAGGAAAGGTCATCAGGGTGTTTCCTACAGCAATGCTGGGAAAGAGAAGGCACAGTAAGCAAGTCTGAGGATGAGGCTGGAATTTGTGGAAATCAGATTCAAGTGTGTGCAAAGCAGCCGTTCTCCACCACCCATATCTGACATTTCCCTGGAAAACACAGCCCACCACATTCAAAGTTCTCTTAGCTTGTCACTTAACTGTCCTCCCAGGACACATCCCAGAGGCTACTTCATCCCTAGGTCTCGGTACCTGGGGCTGTCATTCCATAGGTGCTAATTTACAAGCTGAAAAGGTCTCCTTATTCTCCTGTTTTACTAAAATTTTTTCATTTTTACAAGTCTTATTTTAGAGAATGGGGAGCTAGTTAAAATATTGAGATAATCTAATTTTTTCTAACATCTAGGACAAGTAATTTAATACCCTGGATTCCTACATTCTTCTCTGAAAACTCACAATGACAATGCCATCACTACCTATTTCTCACAACAGAAAGCAGGATAGAATATGAAAAAATACTAAGATATTAGAGTTTTAAAATAATTACATAAATATAAAACATAACTGTATCAGATTGAAGCTTTTGATTTAAGAGAAATAATCAGTTATGATCTTGACATTAATTTTTGCCATGAAGATATAAATTAAAGCTGGAGAGATGGCTCAGAAATTAGGAGTGCTTGCTGCTTTTCCACAAAATGTGAGAGTTCTGTTCCCAGCACTCATATTGGCGTGGCCATACCACCTGTGACTCGAGCTCCAGGTGACCCAACAACCTCTCATGGGCTCCATGGCATACACATGACACACAGAGAGGTACATGTGCACATACACACAAATAAAAGTAAAAATGGGTCATAGTTTCTAAAATAGAGATGAGTGCCTGAAAGTGTAACAAAACACACCTAGGTATAAGCACCTAGATTGTGTACCCTGGGTACTTATCATTCTACACTCTTCACACTCATCTCTACCTGGAGCATCAGCAACCCGTGTCTCACAGGACTCCTGTGTTGAGTACATGGGGCTAAGTAACTCCATCCCCAGCAGCCACACCAGGACTGAGCTGCTTTAGTTTCACAACCAACAGCTGGAACACCCTAAAGTCTTCTCATGCCACAGCACACAGGCCTCTCTAGGTAACTCTAGACTCACGTGGCACTTTCATTGTATGGTGTCTGATCAACCCATCGCCACTGCCGATGACCTGGATCCGAAAGACCGATAAAATAAGCATCATGAACATTCAGGATCTTGGTGATGAAATCCTAAGAGGAAGGAAAGATGAAGCATTCAGCCTGGATGGAGGGCTGCTGTTTCTGTTATAGAAGTTTTATATGCTCTTTTAAAAATTATTATAACAACATAAAATTATAGGTTCGGTGTGATGCACATATGCAAATATATAATAATCAAACATAGTTCATCTCTCCAACCCTTAAACAGTTTTCAAATTTTAGATTCATACACAATAATTGTACATTTTAGAGGTACTCTGTGATACTTTTTCTGGTCACACAGAGATGAGAAGACAAAGAAAGGATCAAGGACCAGAAGGGCCACCCCCACCCCCAGGAGGGCCATCGTCCCCATCTGACCAGGACACAAAGTCATCACCCATAGGCCTGATTTCCATGTCACTGGAAACAGTCTCTGCCATGATCATAGTAATTCTCATCTCAGACTCACTCCCCTCTTTCCTTCCCCAAGACCGTTCTTGAAAGTTGTGCATGACAGAATTTTGCAGATGAATCATTCTCCACTCATAACTTTGGATATTTCCTTTCTTTTTTTATTATTTTTTATTAATTTATTCTATTTTATATAACAAAGTCCAATTAAATGAAAACAATATACACAATATTTGGGAATTTGGGCGTTGTTCTTTCCAAACTACTTCCTGCTGGTAAGGGGCACTATCATGGGGGGATTCGACTGCTGATTCCATCCCATTTCCCTAGTCAGCTCTGCGCCCTCCTCTGTTAGGCAGTTGCTACTACAGGAAGCATTAGAGGGCTGGGATGGCACACTGGTCTTTCAGGCAGAAACATTTCATCCTTCCCTCCACCCTCAGGCCTGGCATGTCTGTTGCCATGGTTCCTTGTGGGCTGTTTAGCTCCACTGAAGCAGGAGCAAGGTGTAGAATGCCAAGGCTGAAGCTACCTTTCCGGCTATTGGATGGAAAGCCTTCTGCCACATCACCAACTCCCATGTTCGCAAAACTCCCTCTCAGTAAAATGAGGAGGCAGACACCAGGCAGGCCCCAGGCGCCACTCCCTCCCACAATGCACCTGCTCTTCCTTGCTGTGGACCACCATCAGATGAGCGCCCATGCTGGAGCACTTCTCCTCACTCTCGCTCCAGTTTGCCAAGGCAGTGGGAATGAAGTAGCAGTGGGAACTAAACGGCTTCCAGTCCTTTGGGCAACAGCTCCAGAACTTGTCTATCCGGGAGGAAGGAGATGTGAGTCAATGTCATTAAGTCATTTAAAAGTTGTTGTGTGCAGAGACCACATGGGAGCTGGGACTCCCACTTCTCCAGATATAACAAGGAGCCTCTCCCCGTCAGGTGCCAAGAAGCCCCAGTCTACCTCTGTGAACACTAACATCAGTTCCCTTTGTCCTACGGGGTGCTGTCAGGAATGCAGTGTAAAGGCTACTCAGACACCAAGGACATACGACAAATGCCCTTGTCTCCAAAGAATAGAACTTATACCAAGAACAAGAAGGTTTTGTAATATTATATGTTGTATTTAAATAACACATGTCAATAATGGCAGCAAAATCCTGAGAGAGATTTTTTAGTGATGATAAAAGTACTTCACACAAATATTACAAAGATTCTAGAAATAAATGTAAAATAGAATGCCTCAGGAAAGTAAAATATATAAACACCCAATGTGTGCAAATATAACTTTTTTATTTTTGAAAACATTTTAACCATTGCATAATGTTCCATTACAATGATATATGACCATATTTTTTTTTAACAGATCCCAATTTTCGCCAGTTACTTAGGGGGTTGCTTTTCGTTACAACCCTCTAAGAATTATAGCAAATCAACTTTTGTCTACACTAGTTAATTGTGTCCTAGGGAAGAATTTTAAATAATAAATTGCTGGACCAAAGGATCAAATGTTTTGTAAATATAACTTCTCATATCTGTAATAATATGTTTTTCCATTTTATAATAAAAAATGATAAAATAATCTTTTTTTAAATGTAGAGGTTATAGTATGATGGATTGCAAAATCAGGAGAAACAAAACCATAGAAATTGAATTTAAAAACAGTCTCCTATCATGATCCTTAACTGCCTATACCAAATAAGAGAGGTTTAAAATATATGAAAAATGAAAAAAATTAATTGAGAAACAGATCATGGCAGGTACACAGAGATATATTCACACGCTTATATGTATCCCTATGTGCTTGTGTGGACACCAAGAATGTCAAAGAGCTAAGAGAGCAATCAAAGAGTGGGAGGGGATAGAAGAATGAACAGCCAAAGCATGCAGTGTTAAGCAAATAACTAAGAAATTACGTTTGCAGTGGTAAACATAACAAGGCTCGGAGAACAAAGAGTAGTGCGCAACATCATGAGGAACCTGGATAGACATAGAAAGATACATTATTCTGTCTCTTGAGAAACCTAACTCAATATTCCACCATAGTGTGGCCTATTGGTCACAACATCCTTCCAAAAATTATACTGTGGAAATAGATTTTTAAAAAAAGATCAGTTTCTTTACATTTAATTAAAATATAATTATATCATTTCCCCCTCCTTCTCTTCCCTCCAAACCCTGTATGTTCCCTTCTCCCTCTCAAATCCATAGCCTACTTTTAGTGTTATAAGAACTACAGGCAATTAATGACTGCTGAGAGAGGGACAATTAATCTTCAACATGGATGAACCTCCTAATTGGTTATCCAGTACCAAATCATTAGCCCTAGATAGGTACACTTCTATCAACCAAACACTGCATAGCAAGATGCAATTATGCTAGGCACAATCCCACATATCATGTCTGGAAGAGGCAACCCAGTAGTAGGGAAAAGGTCCCATGAGCAAGGAGGGCTGATCTTTCCTGAAGGGAAATGGAGGGGCAGTGAATCTGGGGGAGAGGGAGGTGACTGGGGTGGGACCTGCAGGAGGGATGGGAGGCTGCCGTTGGGATGTACTGTATAAAAGAAGAACATTTTTCCAAAAAAGAAGAGACTCAGATGATGAAAAAGACACACTTGTATGTGGCCTACCTTAAGTAGACCATCAGGTGATAATGGCGGTCTATAGTCATTTGTATAGTTTAGACCCTGTGCATGGTGTGATTAAACTAGCATTTCACACCTGCCATCTGCCTCTCCAAAAATAATTTCTCAAATTTCAATACAGGAATATCCTATAGTATACCAGATCAGCCATCCTCAAAACTGATATTCAGAATCATTTAAAAACAAGGACCTTCTGAAAATTCATCCCGACCAAGAGAAGACTAAAGAGATGTGACAGCTAAATATGGTGGTTATATCACTGATGAGAGTCTAGTAACCATGAACTTCAATCAGCAATGATGTCAGTTGGTAGCTGTAGCAACCACGTCTATGTATAAAAATGTTCATATGGACAGTGGACAGTGTATGAATATGTGGGGTTAGAATGATATCTTTATATCTTATGAAATCTAAGAATTTGAAAATGTTCTCAAGGAGTCTGTTAAAGCTTTAAGTAATTTGTATTCATGATACAGGGCATCATCGTTTTCTTCAAAATATATATTTTTAAGACTTATTTATTTAGTGTGTATGCAGCGTTCTGCCTGCATGTGTATCTGCATGGTGGAAAAGGGTATCAGATCTCATTACAAATGGTTGTAAGCTACCATGAGTTTTCTGGGAATTGAACTAAGGACCCTGAAGCTAGTGCTCTTAACTTCTGAGCCATCTCTCCAGTCCATATGTGTGTGTGTACACATATATGTATGTATACACTGCATGTGCATGTGCATGTGCGTGTGTGTACTGAGGTGAGAAACAGCAAGTGTACAAAGATGGTTCAGAAAGAAACAGAGGCTAGAAAAGTCTATGAACAATAGAACCCACTCGCTACAAATGGCGCCCACGTGGCTAGTAAGAACTTCCACTTAAAATTTAACAAAAGCTTAAAAAAAGGATTTAGAAACAAAAGAACAGAGACAAGCAAGGTTTCTTGGTAGCAGCATTTTTCTCGGTTGGACTCTGTTTTGCGAGAGACAAGCAGATATTTGCGCGGCTCCTTAAAGGGAGGATTCCTGACTCAGCATAAGCGACAAAAAACCACAAGGCTTTTAAGAAACTCTGCTAACTATTCATTGGTGTGTATGAGAGATGGCAATGGCAGTGACCACATCTCCAAGCCGGCAGCGTTGACCAGAGCAGTGACCACAGCTTTCATTGCTGGCGGTAAAAGCACCCGCCACCATCTTTGATAACCGCGGCAGAAACAAAGACTTTCATTTTAGCAATGTTGTTGTTTAACAGATAAAGACTCATGGCCAGAAAAAGATAAAGATTTACAGTAAAGACATAATTCACATTAAGAAAAGGTGCTAAAAGTTTACAGTGTGTTTTAAAAAAATACGTAGGCTTGGGGGGAAAATGGTTTTAAAAAGACAGAGAGGAGCTGGGTGTGGTGGCACACGCCTTTAATCCCAGCACTCAAGAGACAGAGGCAAGCAGAACTCTGTGATTTGCAAAGTAAACCTGGTATGCAGAGTAAATTCCAGGACAGATAAGAGTTACACAGTGAAACCCTATGTAAAAAAAAAATAAAAGTAAAATAAACAGAGTAATATAAAGCCACGTAAAGATGAAAAGCTCAGAGAGAATCTGGTTACTATATGCTATTGTGTTGTTTTTTTATTGTTTGACTGCTGAGGAAACAGCTGTTAAAACAAAGGCTGCTGAATTAATTCAATTTATATATTTTAAAAATGCTTTGACTTCAAAATTTAAGTTCAAGGACAAGTTACTGGGGAAAAGGATTTCTATTTTTGTTTCCACAGAAAATAAAAAGCTGTGGATTCCTTCCAGACTAATGTGGTTTGATCAAGCCAGACCGCCTAAAACAGAGTACCAGGTGATCCTACATTCAAAACAGCTGAACAAAGCAGCCTTGCAGACTACAGCCAAGATTCTGAGTCTTCTCAGGATCCCCCATGACAGCGCCCCCTGTCAGCAGGAAGTAGTTTGGAAAGAACGACGCCCAAATTCCCAAATATTGTTTATAATTGTTTGTTTTCATTTAAATGGACTTGGTTATAAATGGTTAATGATCACAACCATTATCTTTTTAAAGGTAAAAAGGGGATTATGGTATAGATATGAATACTTCATTTTGGAATGGATTTTCATTTATTGATACAATTTAAGATCAGTGTTGTGATATGTATATTTCTCTTCTTGTTTATGTATTGTGTTTATATAGCTCATTTAAAAATGTAATGTATAATTTAGTACAGATTTTACATAGTTACCTATAATAGTCAAAACTTATAGCTAGGTGAGTTAGATTTTCAAGATACACAGAGATGTATTTGAGATAGGCATTCTTCAAACCTTTCAAAGACCTACAGAATATGGCATTTAAAATGGTTTAGGGTTTTCGTGACAGTGAGACATAATTGCTCTTGGCAATACCACCTGCACCAGAAAGGAAGATGGACATTGAAGAAACTCGTTATGGAGTTTGCTTCCAATATGGCAAGACTAGCCATTTGAACAAGATACTGCTCTTGTCTGGACTGTTTGACTTTTTGATGTATAAACTGGACATGCAGGATCCACAGAAAGTGACTGCTGATTCAAGATAGACATTGCTACAGAGTTCCTGCTTTGTGGAAGAGTCTGCCAGACAGTCTGCAGAACACAGAAAAAAGTGACGGACAAACTGCAAATACAAGAAGACAGTTCAAAGTCTCCTACTTTGCTAAAGAGTCTGCCAGACACACTATGGCCTATGGGCTGAAGATGGAAGATTACAAAAGAACTTCAGATGGCCAGGCAGTGAGATGTCTCTGTCATTTCTAGAGTTTATATATTATCCTTCTGTGGTCTTTGAAGGAGTTGAAGACAGATAATAATGGTTATAGTTTTCATTAGTTAGGGTTAAAGATAAGTTACTTAGACTTTAGACACACAAAGATAAAATAGATGATGAAATATTTTCTTCAAATCTTATTAAATGTTAATGGACTAAATATTGATAAGTGTGATTCTTGATAACTGTTGTATAATATATTTTGCTATGTTAAGGTTAAAACCCTTCTTTTTATTTAGACAGAAAAGAGGAGATGATGGGAGATGTCATTCTGTATATGTTTCTCATACTTGTTAATAATAAAGCACTGTTGGCCAATAGGAAAGGAAGATAGGAGGGACTAGGAAACAAGGAAGAAATAGGAAGT